CCCCTCCTCCCTTGAGCCATAATTAATTATCGAGATGGATTGTTTCGCTCACTGGACGGCAAACTAGTGATTTTTTTTATTCTGCCAGCCATGCACAACTGTTGTTATCACAGAAATTGGCATCAAATTGTTTCTATCCTTTCCACTTTTTCCCCTCCCCTATCCCCTCTAGGCGGAAGCAAGAAGCAATCACTCAACACAGCGTATTCAGTTACCTCTGCGATCGATTCCTCACGGTGGCACCTGTCTTCACCATGAAGGCCTATAATGTCTTCTTTGAGGTACAGTTTTCACTTTTAATTTTTTTCCCTAATCCTATGCTAGATGGAAGTATTGGCCTTTAATTCTCTGTAAGGCTTTTCTTGTCGCATATTTACTAGATGCATGAGGAAAGCGAAACTGGCAATAAGACTGAACTTTCTTACTATCTCCTTGTTTAGTAGCGGCTCTATAAAGCGCTTTAGCATGGAGTAAACAACCTTTCCTAGAGCCATATTGTGACAATGTGGCCTCGTTTTATCCTTCTTTAATTTGTATTCACGGTAGGCTAATTCAAGTTGATTTGAACTCCTCTGTGAATGCGTATATCACAAAACGAGTAATTTCTGTCATGCAAAAGCTATTGTCTGTTTATGAATTTGTGTAGCGCTACGATGCTATCTGTGCCAGCAAATGACAACGAGATTTAAAGTGAGACCATTTGAATTGGTAAGAAAAATCAGTTAAAGGGGGAAGTTCGTTACTTTCTATTCACTCCCTTCGCGTTGTCTTGAATTAGGGTAGATAGTAGGTAAATATTTCAGTGAAAAGATTAGTGGTGTGGCTTGAAAAAATGTGGTGTCAAAGGTCAATCTGTCATTAATCTCTTATAGTAGGTTGTTTGCATAATAGAGCACTTTGCGTTTGTGTACTTGCCTATAGAGCCGCTAATGGTGATCACTTTCAATTAGACATTCAGTTCAGAAAGAGATCGCAATTCTTGGCGACACCTCTTCTCAGGTTTTTTTTCTTGCGTAATAACAAAAGATGGTCTTCTTTGCGCTTCAGCTCTTGACGGAGGATGTGAGCCTGAGACTCACGGATAAAATATTGCCGATTCCGACTCCGACTCACCGAATCGAAAATTCCGGTAAGTTCCGCTTTCTGCTCCTTCCATTCCGCCACTTTTGCACCTCGAGACTTTTACCAAAAAGCATCTACTTTGAAAGTGGCCGGGGGGGGGGATTCCTTAACTTATTCTATTATATTTTTTTCGCAAAACTATTTAATGCGTTTGATAACCTGATTCGCACATCACAACTAATGCATCGAGGTGCTTGTTCTTACCATTGACTGCGCGCTTACAAGCGGCACTCTTCTGTAATACTTGGGTATAACAGTAGAAACGGAAGGAACCAATAGAACCGATGTTTAGAGAGTGCATTATCTTCTTTAAGGATAATAGCCAAGAGGTCAAAGGGACCCTCCAAATACTAAAGTACTACAAAATCACATCATCGAAACTCCCTTATGATGTCGATCACTTTAGACTTCTAGGTACTCCAATTATCTTTCCAAAGACTGGCATATGAATATATCCAACGCCTTACAATTATTTTACTGTTAGGATATCACCGTCATATCGACTTGTGCGTTCGGTAAAATGCTCAAAGACCAAGTGTCAGCTTTGCATGACCTCAACGAAGTTTGCTATTAATCCACAAAATGAGTCATTCCCCGGTGTAGAACTAATTTTTTCCTTACTTCTTGGATTTTAGCTCTATTGAAAACCATCGCCTTGCTGATTATTCATTCAAAGCGAACCCCCGAAGTAATGCTTGTCCGTCAGGCGTTCCTGGAACATCTTCTCGCCCTTTGTCTCAATTCGGATGTTAATCGGCGGTGAGTTCACTCTCCTACCTTCTGCTATCTCTTTCCTTCCCCCTAAGTGATTGGACTGCGATGGCTTAAAACAACTTGCCCAAAATGAGATGTTTGGTTAAAGGCCAATCGATTTTAATTGGTTAAATGTTTGTTTCTAAGAGGATGGTATGGGTTTCTGAATATTTCCTCACTTTAAATGTTTATTTATTTATTTAATTATATCAAATGGTAAGCTTTATTATAGTTATCATTAGCCCTTTAGTTGACTTCGGGTTTTACAGAGGGGAAGGAACATCAAAGTGTGAAAAAGTCGAAAGAGGGGGGAATGGACGAATTTTTCAAGTATGTTAAAGAGGTAGACAGACACAAAGGCAGAAAAAGGTGAGATGCGTACTGAGCAAGTAGTCGAATATGAAATACAGTGGGCTGATGGTAGTTTGAGGTCAGAATTCAACTGCCGGTTAATAGACTTATTGGCCTATGAGTATACGTTGCCCTTAAAACGTAACTTAAAATGTTAAACTATCTTATCTCTGCTACTAATAAACCGTAAGAAGTTGAACGTCACGTTGAATCATTTTCCTAACCAACCAAGAGCACTGATCACCGTAGCCAGACAGTTACCGCTATATAGGTTAGCGAGTGGTGATGAGGTTTAAATTTTGGAACGCTAACCGCCTATTTAATTATTAATGTCGCACAATCCAAGTTTTATTGGATTTCTGTCTGTGTGTAATAATACTAATAGGATCTTAATCGTCACGAAATGAAGTTTTGACTGCTATTGCTTCCTCTCCCGGTAAATAGCGAACTATTGTTGCTCCAACCCTAACCGCGTTTCAAGTAAGCCATTAGAGTTGCACATATCCTATTTTCCAAAATTTCTACATTCTTTATCTCATGTCTGGAGTTTCAATTACCTTTTGACGGGATTTCTTGACGGCAACGTTCAATGTCTCCCTTCTCGAGGTGCTGCAATGCGTCGTTCGTATTTGATCTGATTTGGCAATCTACCAAATTATCAATAACCCCTCCATCCCCCCCCCCCTATTGTCTTTAAAGATGATCGAGGGTTACCTTAATTTCTGTGAATGATTTCAAATAATCTACCTGCCTTCTGCTCCTCGACTTTCTAAAAGCAGCTAATGAGGAAATTCATAATTTTATCTAAAACGGAAGCAATTTGTTATTTTAAACAGCAAGATTAGGTGCTATTAATTATCCTATTTTCTCCGTTCAATTTCTTCATGATGCAGTTCTCATACGGAATGAAATATTATTTTTGCATTTTTTTGTAAATTTGAATTCATCCCATCTCTTCAAGCACTTTTCGCTAAATTGCGATATTGACCCTTGACCTGTTTTCTCTCTGGATGGTCTTTTGGGGTCTTGCTTGAACACCCATTCCAAAAAAAAAATTTTTGTACACGCTCTAAACCTTGAATAATCATCGATGTGTCTTGCTTTCACTTCATTGGCACGTAGTACTGTTAAATGAAACTTTTGCATTTGAAAGAATAGACCCACTCTAGGTCAAGGAGAATGAGGATTCCAATTGCACTTTTATTTTGTGAAATGTCGGTTATTGACTGATTAGCGAGTAAATGAGTCCTCATTACAGCAGGCCTTTCCAAGACATTCTTATCACATTTCCTCATTGATTTCAGCTCGGTGTTGCAGATGTCAGTATGGCAGGATTGGATAATTGGCCTGGCCTCTCTTTTCCCTCAGAATGAACAGAATAGTTACGCGACGGCGACAGTGATGGAAATTCTGCGGTGTTTGCTCTTCTACGCTCTCCGCTTTGAATTTGGTGGTTGGCGAGTGTGGATCGACACTTTGGCCATTCTCCATTCTCGTATTTCCTTTGAGCAGTTTCGACGAGCTACGCATCAGCAGGTTTGTTCACACTTTCTGGATGCGCCTCATTAGTCATGCTGTATAATGCATGACTAACCTCCACGAATTGGAAATCTTTAATATATTTATTTATTTCAAATGGCAGGCGTTATGATAGGTATCATTAGCCCTTTAGTTGACTTCGGCCTTCACAGAAAGGAAGATGAACATCCAAGTGGTAAAAAGTCGAGAGGGGGACAGAATAATGATTCACAGACGTAAAAGAGACAGACAGACACGAAGACATTAAAAAGGTAAGATGAGTACTGTGAAGGGGTCGAATATGATAAATAGTAGGGCCATAGAAGTTTGAAGTCAGAAGTCAACTGCCGATCAATAGACTTTTTTGCCGTATGAGTATACGTTGCCCAGGGTGTACCACGTGGAGGTAAGTCCATTGCACACCCCATGCTTTAATATTAAAATAATGGAA